GCAGACACTGTTGGTCTGTTGGCCTGATGCACATGATTGTCATCGTCGTCGTCGCCATCACCATCACCTCCACCGCCAGTCGCCAGCCCAGCCCAGCCCACTCTCCTTCACCGACATCGACACCAACTGACGATGGCGCACCCATGACCACTTCCTAGCCTGATCCTACTCACCCTCCCTTCTACCCTCCTCCATCTCGCCCCGCAGCCCACAACTGCCCCCTCCTCCAATCCCAAGCCCTCGTCTCCATCGACACCCCTCCTGCCAACTGCGCCGCTGATCATGACTAGGCCCAAGTCCGACTGTCCGAGAACAAGCCACTCCTCATCTCACTCTCCTCCGTAACCACATCTTCGTCCCCGCCTCCCCTCAACCCCTACACCCACTCCCATCGGCCTACCCATGCCTCAATCCCGACGGCGACGGGCACGGCGACTTGGACGACCCGACAGCAATCACATCACCAAGACCAGCAGCATCAGCAACACCAGCTCTACCACACCCAATACAAGCCAATCGCAAGTAAACAAGATCGCAGCCACCGCCATCGCCCCCATCCCCACCATGACTCTTGCCCCTCGTCATTTACTGCCCTGCCTCCTCCACCTTCACAAGCCCTCCCCCGATAAAGTACTCGGCCACCATCCGCCGCCGCTCTCTCACCTCGCTCAGCACGCCAAGGATCGAATTCCACGACTTGCCTTCCCCCACATGCATCCGCAGCACCTCCTCCCTGCTCGGCATCCGGATCGCCTCCAGGAACTTGCGCCGCTTCCACTCGCGGTACTCGCCAGACGACATCCCACTGCTGGATTCCGAGCTCGAGCTGCTGCTTCCCGCATCGCTCACGACCCCAATCACACACGACGATTCCCCGTCATCGCCGCTGTCCGACACCATCGGCAGAGCCTTCCTCCGTCGCCGCGCTCGCTTCCGCGCGATCCCCTCCACCACGCCCACATCCTCCGCATTCCCCACCATCTCGTCCACGCTCCACCAGCCAGCTCCGATCACAGCCTTGCTATCGGCGTCAAACACCACCCACCGGCGGATCACTCCGCGCAGCAAATCCTCCATCACCCCGGCCTCCACGTCCACTGCAAGCGCAAGCCCAGGCCGCAGCACGCCTGCCACACGCGCCATCTCCTCACGTGTCGGCTTCCACGCCACTCCAGCCCCGACATCTTGCGCCGCCAGCCTTAGCTTCGCCCGCTGCTCCTGGATCGCCAAGTGCGCCACCCACTGCGCCTCGCGCCGCGTCATCCACCCGGAGAACAGCGACTTCTTTGCCTTGCCAGACCCAAACTCCAACCTCACATGCAGCATTCCATTGCGCGTCGGGTGCTGGCCTGCATTCCGGGCCACAACCGCCCTCACCATCTTCCTATCGACCACAAACCCTCGCATCGCCAGGGCACTACCCTTGGCCGCAGACACCGCGCTCCGCTCAGACTTGGGCACTGCCCTCACCTCAGCTTTGCGTTCCATTCGCACACACGCCTCCCGCGGATCAACCTCCATCAGCCGGCCCAGATACCCGCTCGACGTCGCTATCTCTTCCGCCACCGCCAATCCGGTCCCCGCCTTCCGCCCCGCCAGCACATCCTCCACAATTCGATGCGCAGCAAGCGCAACCTCATCCTGCCGCAACCAATACGCCCCGTAGCCCTGTCTGTTAGCCGTAAACTGATAATACACCGCACTTGGATCCATCGGATGCCGTCCATACTCCTTAATCAACATCGCGCTCAGCTTGGCTCCATCAACCTCAAACCCATCCAGCGTCACCCTGTTCCACTCACCAACAGGCCACCGATCTCCATGTCTGACCCCATACGACCACAACATCATAGCCCGTGACCGCCCCATCACCCGCGGATCGCCATCACACACCTCCACCCTCCCATCCAAGCCACTCGTCGTCGCTGTCCCTCGCTTCGTAGCCCGTTCCGCCGCAGCAGCAGCGTACTCTGCCCGCTTGGCCTCCCGCTCAGTCTCGCTCAGCGCCAGCCACTCACGAATCGCCATGTGCGCCACCCACTCCGCCTCGTCAACCGTCAGCCATCCCGAGAACAGCTGCCGCGCCGCATTGCCATATGCCACATCCAAGTGATAGTAGGCCATCATCTCGCGCAGAGGATGCATGCCCCTATTTTTGACCACACTCACCACCACTTTCTTCCCATCGAGCAGGTAGCCCTGCGCAAACACACGCATCGCCCGTCCGTCCACAGCTTGCCTATCCTTGGCAGCCACCGTTCCTGCTTCCGCCTTACGTTTCGCCTGCTCTTGCGCATCCCGCGGATCTACAGCAGGTATCTCCCCCTCCCACCGACTTTCGCTCACTCGCGTGTCCACATCACCATCCAGTGGGCTCCCGCTCAACACAGACTGGACGAGCAGATGCGCCACAACCTCCAGCTCGCGCACAGCATACCATCCAGAATGTAGCGACTTGCCTCCCACGTTGAATCGCCAGTAGAACACATCCGTGAAATCAGGATGTATTCCCGCATTCTTTTCCAGCACCATCCTCATCGGCCTCCCCTCCACCAGATACTCGTCCAGCCGAGGCGCAAGCGATGCTACCCCTTCCGGTACAGCCAGCCGATCCCGACGATGCACCGTCCTCCCCCTCTTCATCCGCACAGCTGCCTCCACTCGCGGATCTACGTTCCACGAACCCTTGAACGGCGACACGGTCCGCTCATCCCCCCTTCCTCCTTTCTTCAGCTGCCGCAGCTCGTCCAGCGCGTCCACGCCGCCGGCCGCCAGCATAGCCCCGACCGCCCTCACCTCGTCGACCGAGAACCACCCGCACAACAGGCTCTTCCTCTCAGCCGACGTAACCGCCCAGTTCAGCACTCCTTCCATCTCAGGATGCATCCCATACGCCTGATGTGGCGACGCCCGCAAGCCCTTCTCCAGCTTGACCCTCGCGCCCACCACAGCCTTGCGCTTGCCCACACACACCCTCCTCGCCACCTCCATCCGCCGACTCTGGTCAGCCACAGCAGCCACCGCCAACTGCCGCGCGTCGGCAAAGGTGTTGCCCTTTTTCATGGCTGCCATTCTATGTGGATGGACTTTGTGTAAAGTGGGGTGTTCTGCCCGCTCTCCCGCCTCTCGTGGTAGTTGTCCTCAGGTGGACAACTGTGTGCCTCCTCGCATGGCCACGGCATGTCACCCGACATCAAGACTCATGACTTGGCCACACACACACGGTACTCTCGGCATACACCGTAGTCATTGTGTCGTGTCCTTGTGCTCCCTACGAGATGCCGCCGCCTGTCGATGTTGATCGCTCGCCGACATGGGGATATCATTGGCGTGCAAAGCGGCCTTGTCGTCCTCTCCGACCGGCGGGGACGCACGGCACGATACCGCCCATGCAGACGGCTATGAACCACATCCACCCCCACAGATGCTGTTTAGAGTATGTATGCCCAGTATCAATACGATCTGAGCTCTTGGCGTCGCACACAGCCTCTCTTGACGACCCATCAGTCCGCCATGACCACGCCGCTCTTCGCGGCGGCAAGTCAGACCGACCACCACCGCCCACGCCTCTCCCTCGCCCGCGGCTACCACGACATGGCCAGTTTGCAGAGCCTGGACCCCTCCGCATTGTACGCACACGCGCCCCATCTCCTTCCCTTGCCCGACTAGCCTTGCCAGACGTGACTGTCTCCGCCGTCTCCCTTCCCGTGGCTGCATGGTGGTGGTGGATAGGGGGGGGGGGAGGGGTATGATTCTACACGGACACGACTCACCCGCCTGGCGACGGATGATATGGGATGGGCAGCGCGGAGCATACGAACGAGCGGACATGTGGCGGTGATGGGTTTGTGGATGCGCGTGGAGCGCTGGTCATTCCGCCTGGGAGCGAGTACAAGCAGCAGTACGCGCATCTGTACTTTGCCGGCTGGCGGCTCTGCGGAGCAAGGTCAAGGCGGTTGTTGGCGCGGCGACGATTGTGAGTGTGCTGGAGCTCTCGGAGGAGATGGAGGATGTGGTGCTTATTGGGACGCTGTTCAAGTGTATGCCCAAGAAGCACACCATTCTGGACGAGTACGTCAAGGAGGCGTGGGTTGCGCCGCCGACCATCGCGGCGTCGTACGCGTCGGCCGACGACTCGCTCATCTTGGAAGACGACTCTGGCCGGGTTAATCTCACCGGGTCCAAGGAGGTGCTGCGTGTGGGCACAGTTGTGACGGGCGTGGTTGTGGGCGTCCGCGGCGGGCTCAACGCGGATGGCGAGTTTGAGGTGACACAAGTGTACTACCCGGGCACGGATGCTGTGCCGCGTGTTGTGCCTGTCAGCGACGAGTCTGCGCCGGACAAGATGATGCTTCTTGTGTCTGACCTGGGCATTGGGGCGAACGATAGTTCGAGTCAGCTGGCGCGGGATCTGCTGATGGACTGGGTGGCTGGGGCGGTGGGCGACGGGCCTGAGGTTGGCCTTGCTGCTGCTGTGGAGCGTGTTGTGATTGCGGGCAATGCGTTGGCAGCAGGTGACGCGCCTGAGACACGCAAGGTGAACCAGGCGCCGCGGTTGGCGATGGATGCGATTTCCGAGCTGGATGCGTTTGTGGCAGGCATCGCGGCGTGTGTGCCCGTGGTGGTCATGTCGGGCGGGAACGACCCGACCAACTTTTTCCACCCGCTGCAAGCGCTCCATCGGTCGCTTCTGCCGAAGGCTGGGCGGTTTGAGACGCTGACGCTTGCGCCGTCGCCGTATGCGTTTGATCTGGGGGACATTCGTGTGGCTGGCGAGTGTGGCGACGCGATCAACGACGTGCGGCGGTATGTCGATGCCGAGACGGCTGGCGATCCGGCGGGGCTGGTGAGCTCGATTGTCCAGTGGCGGCACACGGCGCCGACGGCGCCGGAGACCCTGGCTGCGTACCCGTTCAAGGACAACGACCCGTTTATCCTGGACGAGGTGCCGAATGTGTACTTTGCTGGCGCGCAGCCGCAGTTTGGAGTGACCGGTGCGGCATGCAATGCGGGAGCGAGCACATGTGTTGCCGTCCCGTCGTTCCGGACGACGCACACAGCGGTGCTGGTTGCGCTCACTGCCGCCGGGGCAGTGCACTCTGTGACGCCGCTCAAGTTCGAGGTCAACGCACAGGAGTAAAGACTAGCCTAGCCGGACGATGCCTTGAACGAGCCAAAGAGTTTCTTGACGCCAGCCTTGGCCTTGTCACGAACGGCGGCCATGCGCGACGGCGAGTTGGCGGATGCAAGCTCGATGTTCTGCAGCATTTCGAGCTGTGCACGCAGGGCCCGGCGCTCCTGTGCTGCCTGGAGCGCTGCTGTCGACCGCTTCTTCCGCTTCTTGCGAGGGCGATCAAGGTCGCGCCGGAGCCCGTTTGCTGCCTGCGTATCGAGGGTGGGCTCGGGCGGCGGAGCCAGCTCGGCAAAGTCGTTGAACGCTGTCGCTGCCGCGGGCGATGAGACACGAACAGCGCCGAGCCGCGTGCGATGTGGCGTGCGACGGCGCGCAGGGACATGTGCGCCAGTAAGCTCACTGGGCGAAGCCAGAGACGAGATATCAAAGTTAGACGCAAGTGCTGGTGGCGATGACGACAGTGTGTCGGTCTCGGCTTCGGACGTGTCGTCGCCCCAGCCGCCAGCCGACTCGCCGGTTGCGGTTGTGGGGAGAGTGGCGTTGTCTTGGTGGGGAGCTGTAGGCTCGGATTTGGGGAGAGTGACATCGTCTTGGTGGGGAGCTGTAGGCTCGGATTCGGGGAGAGTGGTGTCGTCAGCGCCGTCGACGTCGATCTCGATGTCGATCTCGATCTCGTCGTCGCTGTTGTCGCCCCAGTCACCAACCCACTCGCCGCTTGTGGTTGCAGGGAGCGCGGCGTCGTGGTGGTGGCTTGCGGGCTCGGATTCGGGGAGAGTGGCGTCGTCTTGGTGGGGAGCTGTAGGCTCGGATTCGGGGAGAGTGGTGTCGTCAGCGCCGTCGTCGTCGATCTCGATGTCGATCTCGATCTCGTCGTCGCTGTTGTCGCCCCAGTCACCAACCCACTCGCCGCTTGTGGTTGCAGGGAGCGCGGCGTCGTGGTGGTGGCTTGCGGGCTCGGATTCGGAGAGCGCGGTGTCGTCAGCTCCATCGTTGTCGATCTCGGTCTCAGTCTCGATCTCGTCGTCTCCGCCCTCACCCCAGCCGTCAACCCACTCGCCGCTTGCGGTTGCAGGGCGCACGGCGTCATCAGCGCCGTCGTCGATCTCGGTCTCAGTCTCGATCTCGTCGTCTCCGCCCTCACCCCAGCCGTCAACCCACTCGCCGCTTGCGGTTGCAGGGCGCACGGCGTCATCAGCGCCGTCGTCGATCTCGGTCTCAGTCTCGATCTCGTCGTCGCTGTCGTCGCCCCAGCCGCCAGCCCACTCACTCTCATCGCCGTCTGCAGGCTCAGGCTCGGCGTCGGGCGCAGCGGCGAGAGCGCGCGCGCCATCGGCATCAGCCTCGATAGCCACATTGTTGTCGTTGTCGTCGCGACAGCTGCCAGCCGACTCGCCGCTCGCAGTCTCGGCGAGCACACCAAGATTATCAACGTCATTGTCGACATCAATCTCGATGTCAATCTCGTCGTCTCCGCCCTCACCCCAGCCGCCAGCCCAATCATTGCTCGCGGTCTCGGGCAGCAGAGCGACATGACCAACTGAAGGCTCGAGCTCGTCGTCGGCCACCGGCACGACATGATCAACCATGCCAGTAGGCAACTCGGTGCTATGCAGGGCAGTGGGCGGCGGCGTCGCACGCGACTCGGGCGACCGCGTCACCCCGCGCAGCACCTCGCTGTCACCCGACTCTTCCGAGCCCCACCCAGCCGAGCCATCATCGCTGTTTGGTTCCACTCGCAGCGCCGCCGACAGCTCCGGCTTTGGCCTCACCAGCGTTGCAGCTTTGAACTCGGGTTCCATGTCGGCAAAGAAGCCGCCCGCGATCGCGGGCGCGGGCCGGCGTGGCGGCGTTACCACAACCGGCTCGATGTCGACCGGCTCAGCGATCACAGGCTCGACATCAATCGGCTCGACATCGACAAGCTCGGCGTCGACAAGCTCGGCGTCGACAAGCTCGGTGTTGACAAGCTCGGCGTCGACAAGCTCGGTGTCGACAAGCTCGGCGCCGACAAGCTCGGTGTCGACAGCCTCGGTGTCGACAGCCTCGGTGTCGACCGGATGGACGACCACGGGCTCGACGAGGGCAGCCGACTCGGCCGGAAGGGTCTCGGGCACTGCGCCAACCAGGTGCGACGAGCGAATCCAGCGGCTCATGCCGCGCTGGCGCATCGACCGCTTGAGCGGAGCCAGGAGAAGGTCCAAGGAGAAGGCCGAGAGCGCATGGCGCGGGGCGTTTGGCGCGAGCGCAGATGCCCGCAGCTGCTGGAGGGCGGCATCGGCTGCGTCGCGGACGGCGGCGCGGGGATCGAGGAGGAGCTCGAGGAGGAGAGCGGACTTTTCTACAGCCTTGACGGTCCCGAGCACGGCCTCGGACGCCGACCACAGGTGGGTGACGGCGGCGACGCGCACGAGCTCATCCGGATCGCGGATGCGGAGGCGCAGCGCGGTGAGCATGTCATTCTGCAAGGCGGCTGACCAGGCGTCGGACGAGGCGGCGAGGAGCAGGCCGCAGGCGGAGGCGACCCGCGCACGGATGGCGGGCGAGGGTCGCCCAACAAGTGGACAAAGGCGTTTCCGGTGCGGTGGCAGAGGGTGGCAAAGGTGGAGGCCAGCCACGGCTGGGTCCCGTTGGAACGCAGCAGGACTGCAACGGCAGCGTCTGCCGAGGCAATCACGATGGCGTCGTCGCTGTCGCGGAGTCCGCGCGGGAGATGGAGAGGAAGATCAAGGACGGCGACGCCGTGCTCGGAGAGGCGGTCCACTGCCAGGGCCAGACTGCGCAGTAGCGGGAGGCGCACGGCGCGCAGCGGCAGGTCAAAGCCTTTGGCAAAGAAGGGAAGCATGACACGCTCAAAGGCGGCGGAGTCGCCCAGCAGCGAGGCGAGCGAGCGGGGGCCCGAGCCAAAGAGAAACTCGATGAGGCTGTGTGTGAGAGGCTCGACAAAGAGCATGGGCTGCAGCAGGAGCGGGGCGACGCGAGAGAGGATGACCGAGGCCGGGAGAGGCTCGACGATGCTAGGGACCAATGCCACAAACTCGGCCTTTGCGGCGGCGTCGAGGGTGGCAAACTCGCGTGCACCGTGGGCAAGAAACACAAGCGGCGCATGGTGAGGGCTTGCGGTTGGCGAGAGGCCAGGGCGCAACGGCAGCATGGCCATGGTTGGGCGGGAGCGCGGCTCGGGCGCCCGCAGCGCGTGCTCGATTTTTGCGAGGGCGTTCCCGAACTCAGTGTTGGGAAAGGCGGCGATGAGAGCGCGGACAACAGCGCCGAGACCAAAAGCATCGCGAGCAAAGAGGGTGGCGTCGTGGTTGTGGACGGGATTTGCGGCGATGTCGTCCTCGGGCGCGCGGGCGCGCGGATCACGCACGCTCCGGGTCTGTTCCAGAAACGGGGTTGTCTGTAGTGTCTTTGGCGAGACAACAAACTCAAGGCCGACGAGAACAAAGGCGTGGGAGGCGGCCGAGACAAAGACGGTGGCGGGTGAGACGTTGTTGTGGACGAGGCGAGCGGTGGCGTGAAGAAAGTGCAGCGCATCGGCGAGCGCGACCAGCCCCTCCTGCGCCTCCTGCCAATGCAGCTTGCCGGCTGCCAGCACACTTTCGAGCGGGATCATGTGCTCGGTGGCGATGACGAGCATGTCGTTGCTGAGGACGACGTCGTTGGCGGCGACCAGACCCGGGTGCCTCAGCTGCTTGGCGCGCTTGGCGGCATTCCTCACAGCCCGCCTCTGCACGGCGGCAGCCACGCCGTTGCCTCCGGCGTCCCCGTCGGAGTCCAGACTATACTTGAAGAGGGTGGCGCTCTCTCCGCCGAGCCTTCCTCCGACGGCGCGCCACAGTCCGTTCCGAGCCACCTCGACCTGGCCGAGCTCGAGCGGACGGCGGCCCGGCCTTTGACGGCCACCACCAGCGGCACTGGCACCAGTTGTGGCGAGGGTAGTGGTAGCTGAGCTACTGGCAGCGGCGGTCTGTGGTCCGGTGCCGGCTGGCCGTGAGCCTGTGTTGCCCATGGTCGGGTGGCTGGCCTGTGGAGCTCCAAGAGTCGTGTGTGTGTGTGTGTGTGTGTGTGTCACTCGACGGCTGCTCATCGAGACGGGGCAAACGGTCTCAGATCTAGCGTGCGGGCTTTGCCGGTGAGGACTAGCTCGGCAAGGGCTAGGCCGGTGGCTTGCGAGTTGAGGATGCCCCAGCAGGAGTGGCCGGCGGCGACGTAGAGCGGCTGGTTGTCGATGACGCGGCCGATGAGCGGGACGGCGTCGTTGCTGGTGCGGATGGGGAGGAAGCAGGCGTGGGAGGAGGACCGCGGCGCAGCCGCGAGGGCGGAGGAGGAGGCGCGGACGACGTCCTCCAGCTGCTGGATCTCGTGGGGCGGGCGTGGACCTGGCGCGGAGAGTCTGGCAGGTCGTAGGTCGGCACGTTGCCGGAACACACGTAGACAGAACCGTCCGGGCGTGGATAGATCTCGCAGTCGACGGTGTTGGCGTCGAGGAAGACTGCGGCGGCGGCGACGTGCGTCTGAGGGTCTAGCACCAGCGAGAATGCCGGCTGGCCGTCGATGTCGAGCAAGCCGCGGGCGTCTTCGGGTAGCCAGTCGTCGGCGCGGCCGGTCCACGGGCCCATGGCGAGGACGACGTCGTCGGCAGCGAGCTCGCAGGCATGGCTGGGGTCACTCGCCGGATGCCAGGTAACACCGGCGACAAGGCCATGTGCGGAGTAGAGCAGGCCGGTGACTGCGGCGCCCTCGATGAGCTCGACGTCGACGGCGGGCGCTGCGTTTGCTCTGCGGATGGCGTCGTCAAGCAGGGCGCGGGTGTAGGGGCGCGGAGTGATCTGGGCGGTGGTGGCGCCGTCATCGCGGCACTCGATGGAGGCGACAGCGTCGCGGTCGAGCCAAGCGACGGCGTCGTGGTCGGCATCGGGCCCGCGATGGCGGGCGGCGACGGGGCTTGCGGCAGAGGCGGCAAAGAACGTCGGCAGGCTGCGGTAGCCGAGGGCGTCGGCCTCTGCGGGCGGGCGAGAGGCGGCGATGTCGGCGGCAAAGGCAGCGTGCATGTCGAAGGAGGTCTCTGCTAGGACGGCGGCCGGGCCGGAGCACCAATTGCGGGCGAGGAAGCCGCCGGCGCGGCCCGAGGCGGCGCACGCCACCTCGCAGCGCTCGAGCACGACGAGCTTCAGAGGGCCGGAGCTTGAGGCGGCAGCGAGGCGCACGGCGTGGTTGGTAAAGGCGCAGCCCATGATGCCGGCGCCGACGACTACTACTGTTCGTGTGCGGGAGTCTGCCAGTGGGGGGGGGGGG